AGTGGTGTCCCTGCCCAAAGTTTGTGGAAGGCTGGAGAGGGATGGCACGAGACAAATGGCTTGGTCACTGTCTTCGGTCCATCCCCTCCAGGGTCCGTTAGTTCGAACTAACTTTGTAGTGTAGACATACCCTAAGATATTCGCCATCTTATTCTCTAACCCTTTTTTAATGATTCCTAACATCCTGTTTGCTTTTTTGACTGCTACTGCACACTGCGGGGATGTCTTCCGAGAACTACCCACAATGACTCCAAGATCTCTTTCCTGATTAGTTGTCGCTAACTTAGCCCCCATCATACTGTATGTATAGTTGGGGTTATTTTTTCCAATGTGCATTACTTTACATTTATCCACATTAAATTTCATTTGCCGACCTTTCGAAGTTTTGCCCCGAGCGAGGGGGCATGGGGGCATCATTTGAGCTCCCCGCCTCAGGTGCTAAGATGTTGTGGGCCGGCCCTGCAGGGCACCTTGCTGCAAACAGTTCCATGGCCCAGCAAACAGGCCGGGCCATGGACCAACCCCCGGGGTGGAGGGGGGAGCAGACGGGACGGAGTTTGAGTAACACCAGTCACAGCATTTAGCCATGGGGGAGCGATGGCCAATGGCAGAGGGCTCTCTACTCCAGCAGAAAGAGGCATGGCTGGATGCTGGAGCCAGACACATCCCGAGGAGGAATAAGGGGTCACTCTTAACAGGGAGGGCACCTAGCAACAGGCACAGCCTGCCCAGCGAGGCGGCGGATTCCCAGCCCCTCAGAGTCTGTCCCTCCGGGCTGGGTGGCTTTCTAGACACCATTAGTGCTCAAGCCAAAGTGCCCTGGTCGGACAGAGCAATCAATGGGCGCTGACCTCAGGCCTGGGGTTTCCAGGGGCCAGGCTGGACAATCATGATCCCTTTCAGCTGGCATGGCGGAGAATCCCCGACTCTCGCCCCAAAGGCTCTGCAGCCCCTTTGTAAAGAGCTCTGAAAGCCAGGGGGGGAAAGCTAGGGTAGCACATACAGGCCCCAATCGAGGACAGGGCCTCCTCAGTGCAAGGCTTGGAAGAGACGGTCCCTGCCCCCACCAGCCTGCAATCCAAGGATCTGTCTTCACTGTAGCCAACACAGGCTCTTAGGCCAGTGCTGCCCTGACCCCATCCCATCCACTCACAAATCCCTCCCACCTGAAGATGGTAGGGCTCTCGACCCGGGCCTGCCTCAGTTTCCCCTTATGTTGGCCCTGTAGCATTTCCAGGAAGGAGTCCCTGAAACTCTCCCCCAGTTGCTACGAACAGGCCCTCTGGAGTCCTAGCAACACACCCGGTACCAGAGAGACACCAGAACTCGAGTGGGGCTTTGTGGGGCGATGCCTCATGCCAGCTGAACCCCCCAAATCAACCCTTGGTAAAAGGGGAAGCAGAGGGGCCAGGAGGTGCCAAGGTCACCTTGGTGGGGATGAAGCCACAGCCCGGTGCACCTAAGACCCTCTAAAGCCGTGGGGGGAGGGGGACCTTTTTTGGGTCAGGGGCTGAGAAGCAGAAAGACACTCCCCACGTCCCCCTCACACAACAGTGCTGAGGGGGGCGCAGCCTAGTGGATTTGTGAGCTCCAGCCCCGTGGTGGGGCAGCAGGGGGGCTGGAGTGCCAGCATGGGGTCCCCAATGCTGTGGGGAGCCCTGAGCCTGGGGGGTCAGATCCAGGCAAATGCGGAGCCACATCTAGCCCCTAGGCCTTAGGTCCCCCGCCCTAGAGGACAATCAGGCTGGTCTTAGAAAGACAGTTGCAACTGCCCAGAGAGGTTCAGGAAGTTTCTCTTTACGCCTGGACTTAGCCCCTTTCCCCAGTGACGCTGAAGAGGGAGGCTCCGTTCCCAGGCCCTTTGGGGTCCGAGCATGGACTGTTTTATCCCTCGCTCGGCATCACCACTGGCAGGCACAGGCCGGGCTGTGCTCCACAAGCAGC